TGTTGAAAACCAGAGAGGGAGGAGAGCTGCCCAAGACTCTGACTGAGATGTACGCAGAGTTCCTGGTGTTTCAGATTGATCGGACAAAAGAAAAGTATGGCCCAGAGAAGAGCATTCAATACATTAAGTCATTAGCAAAACTGGCCTTTGAGCAGCTGGAAAAGGGCAACCTGATCTTCTATGAGAAGGATCTGAGAGAGAGCGGTATTGATTTCAGTGAAGCCTCGGTGTGCTCAGGAGTGTTCACAGAGATCTTCAAAGAAGATCGAGGAAGGAAAGGGAAAGACAAGATGTTCAGCTTCGTCCATCTGAGCGTTCAGGAGTTTCTGGCTGCTCTTTATGTGAGGATGTCGCTTAACAACAGTAACATAAATGTGATCCCTTTACCACAACCATCACTGAAAAACCTTCGGCTGTTTTTCAGTAAAACTGCTTCAAAGAAAATCCACAGGAATTTCATTAACAGGGCCTTGCAGAGTCCAAATGGTCACCTGGACTTGTTCCTTCGCTTCCTTCTGGGTCTTTCACTGCAGACCAATCAGGACAAACTACAGGACGTGCTGAGAAAAACAGACTGTGGTTCAGAGACCACTCAGGACACAGTTCAATATATCAAGAAGAAAATCAGTGAGAATCTGTCTCCAGAGAGAAACATCAATTTGTTTCACTGTCTGAATGAACTAAATGATCGTTCGTTAGTGGAGGAGATCCAACAGTACCTGAGTTCAGGATGCCTCTGCACCCATGAACTGACTCCAGCTCAGTGGTCAGCTCTGGTCTTCATCTTAGTGTCATCAGAAGAACATCTTAATGTTTTTGACCTGAAGAAATACTCTGCTTCCGAGGACGCTCTTCTAAGACTATTGCCTGCGGTCAAAGCTTCCAACACAATAATGTAAGTGCACAAAACTACCACCCATCTAATAATGTAACTGTAATAATGTGTTTCTCGACCATTCAGCATAATCTCTGATTCTTAGCATTTACCCAAATGTATTTGTGGGAGTAAGAGTGATCAACAAAATACTGTTTGGTGTAATAAATTAAGTTATTTGATTTTATTTGCCTAAAAGTTATAGTGACATCAGTAGTCAGCTCAGTCTTTGATTCTAATAGTAAAGAATACTTCACATATTTGAAGTTCAATTCAATTTCATATAGCACCTAATTGCAACTGCAGTTGCCTCAAGTAACTTTATATTGAAAGATAAAGACCCTACAATAATTAAGAGAAAACAGAAGACCCCCAAAATATAAAATATAACTAATGAGAGGTGTATAAACACAGTGAAGAAGTTCACGAAGTCATTACTAGTTAATGTTAAAGGGATGGTTGGCTCAATAGAGCTCTGATTGTTTGTCAGCCTGGCTACAGTGCTGAAGAGAAACCTGGGCTTGTTCTTATTTACTTCAATCAGTGACAAATAGTAAGATGTTCTGGCTTTGTGGAGGGCTTTCTTATAAAGCAGCAAACTATTTCTCCAGGCTAAATGATGATCCTCTAAATTTGTGACACACCATTTCCTCTCCAGCTTACGAGTCATCTGCTTTAGGGTACGTGTTTGAGAATTATACCACGGAGTCAGGTACTTCTGATTAGAGGCTCTATTGTTCACAGGAGCTACAGTATGTCATTGATTGAAGCACACTCTGAAAGTTTGACTGTTTTACATTGTACACCAGTGTTAGTGTTTGTCTGTTTTTTTTTTTTTTAATTGCTTCCAGACTGAGTGGCTGCAACCTGACAGAGGAAAGCTGTAACGCACTATCATCAGTTCTCAGCCCCAGGTCCTCACCTTTGAGAGAGCTCAACATGAGTAAAAATGATCTGCAGGATTCAGGGGTGACCTTGCTGGCGGCAGGACTGGAGAATCCACACTGCAAACTGAAGATTCTCAGGTCAGAGTTCAGAACAATGACAACAAACAGGACAAGGTGAAAACACAAAGTTAACAATCTGATGTAGTTACATACACACACCCACAACCACCTACACACACACAATGGACAAAAACAAACAAATGGCCAACTGTACCCACATACACACAGTAATAACATGGACTGAACCACCACTCACTACCATTAGCACTTTATACAGCCTCTATAGAAATCTTCCACATATCTCACTGATCTTAACTGCACTACTGTAAATGCTGTATAGACAATGATTCTGTACAATACGGTAATTATAATTCTACAACTGTTTACAACTGTTTATAACTTGCATAGTTCATATTCCTGTATAGCTTTATATGTCATATTTCTGTATAGCTTTCACATTTATATCCTGTACACTCACTACAGCCTGTACATACTTATAGTCATAGCATATTCATAACATACCTTCATACCGTGTACATTGTAACATACCCATAATAGACCCATATTTTGTACCCTCATACCTATAACAGACACATTCCTGTAATTCCTGTAATCCTGTTAATATATATATTGTAATATATCTATATGATGGCAAAAGCACTTCTGAGTAAACACAAACTGCATTTCGTTGCCTTGTACTTGTGACATGTGCAATGACATAAAGTTGAATTCTATTCTATTCTATTCTAGTAAGATATACTTATATCTGTTCAGTCTCATCACTTAATTTTGTCATCAAAGCATGTGTGTGCTGGTCAGCAGCTCATGAGAGACTGAAAGCAGCAGTAGGCCTAAATAACTTTAGACTGGCTGACTGATGTAAGAGGATTACTTGTTTCCATGTGTACTTCATAGGATAAGATCTGCATATCATTATTTATTGACTAACTATTTTCTACAAACTCATCACTGCTGTTGGGGGAAATCTGAACACAATAAAATAAAATTTGAAAGCTTTGAGTGATATGGATTAGTCCTTAAAGATAGCGAAAACGAAGGTGATGGTTATGATCTATAAAGTGTTTTTTTTTAATTGCTTCCAGACTGAGTGGCTGTAATCTGACAGAGGGAAGCTGTAAAACACTGTCATCAGTCCTCAGCTCCAAGCCCTCCACTTTGAGAGTGATGGACATGAGTAACAATGACCTGCAGGATTCAGGCCTGACTTTGCTGGCCAAAGGACTGGAAAATCCACACTGCAAACTGGAGATTCTCAGGTCAGAGTTCAGCTTCAGTTCAACAGATAACCATATAAATGTTAATTAGCTTGATTCAAAGCTTGTAGTAACAGTGATCAATTCTTGCAGAGACCATAAACAGCAGACAATTCAACAGGGATAAACTGCTGTTTTTCTGAACCTGGCCTTTGATACGGTTAATCACTCAGTGGTTACATTATCTGAATTCTAATCTGCAATGTACAAAACTTGATTCAGTGTTTTTCTCTGAGAACTGTTAGTGTGCCAGGATAAAGTTAGAAATACCACCACTAAGGGGTCTTGGCATTACAGTAGT